TTACTATAGATACCCAATCAGATATTTTCAAAGTCGGTACCAGCTGATGCAAAGCAAAGCAAATCTAATTCGATACGTATAATTACGCCACAAATATTTTTATGATTTTTTAACTTACTTTCTTAGATTTACGCGAATATTTGACATTTTAAATAAAACTATCTTTTCTTATTTTAATATATTTTTTGTCTATAAAGGTAGCAATAGTCTTACTCAATATTTTAACTTTAAATAATAGCAATCTAAATTAATATTTCACTCTGCATCTTCTACCGCATTTATCACGGAAAGTGTTCCGAGGAACTGTTCGGACTGATCCCGGCTGCTGAATTTCATTATCGGACATCGCGCCAAAATATTAAATTCCATCCACACCACCTCGATGTCCAGCGTTCCACAACAGTGCGATTTTTAAGGCATTTTCTGCCCCGCACAACCACTCTGTGGAACCAGCTATCGCCGGCGGTCTTTCCGAACCGCTACACCTTCAAGAAGAGAGCGTATTCCTTTCTTAAAGGCTGGCAACTCATCTGCAAGCCCTGCGGTGTTGCAGATGTCCATGGGCGGCGTTGATCACTTTCCATCAGGTGAGCCTCCTGTCCGTTTGCCCCCTTAGTCCCATAAACAAAAAAAAAACATCTTGTAAATTATATATAAAACGATAATATTGCTTACATAAATAATTAATATTTTTAATATTCTTTATGGTTATACATAATATAATAATAGCAACACTAAATAATGTTAATAATTAATAAAGTTTTTAAAAAAATTTTTTTAATAATAACAGCAAAAATTAATTAAATAATATTGCTATATTTAATTATATATATAATATTTATTAAAAAAAAATTAAAATGTTTAGAAATAAAAATCAACAAATATTGTGAGGTCACTGTCTGTAACAAGTATAACGCCTTTGGGACGTCTATAACCTCAGTCTCTCCCGTGACCATGGATGCTGTAAAGCATTCGAAACGTCGGGAACCAAAAATTAAAATAAATCCGCGAAATAATCCGAAAAGATAGTTTTATTTAAAATATAATTAGAGTTCATAACTTGGCATAATTTCTTATTAGATATTTATTTTTAAAGCATTGGCTGCTGGAACCTCCATTTAGGAAGTCACTTTAAAATGTATCGAGTCCATTTTACATTATATGGATTTTATGTATGTTTTGTTTCGTCGTTTACTAATAATATCTATAATGAACATAAACTCATGCCCACATTTTAGTTCGCTTCTAGTTTAGCTTCGCTCGGTTGCGTCTCCAGGTGAATTTTATTGTTTTTGAGCGGAAGCCTAATATTTTTTTCTAGAATAAAAGGAGCCAAAATTACTCCCTATAATATTAGCTATCTGCCAGTGAAAATCCCATTAAAATCGGTCCAGCCGTTTTGGAGATTAGCGGTAACAAACAGACAAACAAACAGACAAACAAATAGACAAAATTTTTAAAAATTGTGTTTTTCTAAAACAACCGTATATTGTAATTTCATATACATTTAGTAAAAATCTATTATTTTGACATTACAAACAGACACTTCAATTTTATTTATTTGTATAGATTTGTTTTCGTAATATTTATTTAAACGTATGTTATGTAAGTTGAAATTTTCTATGAATTATTTTATATGTTTTTTTAATTACCTCTTAAAGGCCTTCATTTTCATACCTCATACGAGAGGTTTGGGTGTTTTTTTTCAATTCCCACAAAATAAGGCCTGAAATCCGCCATTTTCATTTTTGATAAAATCGATATTATATTCTATGACACTTATGAGTTATCAATACCAATCCAACCACGTATGAATCAACAAAACCAATTAAGTTGTTTAGTTATAACGATCCCATAGCATCGGACATACATACATAAATACAAATTTACATACAGGTTATACATATAGTCCTATTTTTTTAAGTTACTTACATATGTATAGACCACTTTTTGCTTTTGCTTATTATTTTTTAATTTTTACTTTAAAATAAAGAGCAAACAATTTTTAAAAGGTTTAATGTTTATATATTTTTCTTAGCACGTATTCCGCGTATTTTTAATAAATTTAAATATTAAAATGGTACCTATGCCGAGGTTTTCACGGTTTTAACGCTCTAGGCACTCTACTATTAATGTGCCCTTTCAACAAATGTTTTGTTCTAAATTATTATATTATATACGTTTTAAAATAATTATAACAAGTAACGTTTAGGCACTCAGAAATTAAATTACGAGTATGTTTTATTTTGTAGAATTTACTAAATATATATCTTTGAAGTTAGTAAATAAATGATGTATTAAGAATAATAATAATAAATATTAAGAATAATAAATAATTCTTAACATTCTTGAGTAGACAAAGCTCTACTTGTTGTGTAGTTCAGTAGACGACATTAAAGTTTTAAAGTCTGTTTATTTTTTAGAAGTTTGACTTTAAAATTAATTGTAAAAGGAATAATAGTATTTCTTTCGTAAATTATTCCAATAACTTATATACGTTATAAGTTATATTTTTTTCTAAATTTATTATAGTTTCTTAGAACGTTTAACAAGAACTGTAAAAATATATACATATTTAATAAAATAAACTGTCTAAGGACTAAACAATTAAATGTTTTATCATAACAGTTATTACATTTGATACTTATCGGAATAAAAAATAGATTCTACTTATAGCACTCGGTGGCTCCTTCTATTATAGCTTCCTATTATTAAAAGATTTTTCAGAATTGGATCACTAGTTTCAGAGATTAGCCTCTACGAGTCTACATACAAACTTACCAAATGTAAATCTTTATAATATTAGTGTTGATTGTTTAAATAATATATAGGAAATATAATTAGGTTATTAAGTTTAATTATAAACGTACAGCTTAAGTAAAAGTTAGATGAAAGTTTATTTAGCGTAATACTTAAAGCTCTCCTTACCATGTATGTAACTTTAAGTTTCGCAAAGTTGTCGAGATGGTTTTATAATAAAGTGCTATTATATTACTTACTGATATTATTTATTGTTTTTTTTGTCAGTGCCAGCTTACATATGTATGTATATACGCGAAGTCAGAAAGATTGATAACTTACTATTTTAATATTATTCGTAGGATTTTGACTGGATCTTGCAGATACCTTTAATAACTTAACATATAGAATTACAAAATTTTGTAATTTACATGATTCTAGGTGGCCATATTAATTAATTATTGTTATATATGTATTTTAATTTAAAAAAAAAGTATAAAAAGTAAAAAATATTAATATTTAATTTTATAATAAAATTAAGAACATTTAATTAATCAAAAATATTAATATTTATAATTTTTAAATTTGGCAATAGTGTTGCTTTATATTTTGATTTTAAATAATGGCAAACTAAATTAAAATTCTTCCTTTTTTTATACTTTAAATGTGGGTCGCAAATTTCAAATCAGATCATACTTTGAATAGAAAATGAAGCAAATAAATTCGTTCACAGTTTGATTAATGGGTGAATTTACAAATTCCATAGAAATATCGTTCAGAATATCGTTATCCAAAAGATGAACAGTGTTTAGACAAATGAGATTTCAATATTATCTACTTAATAATATTTGAAATTCACTAAGTATTCTACATAATCGATTAGTTATATAGGTATCTTTATATATATAATTCTTCTGTGAGTGTGTATGTCACTGAACTTCTCTCAAACGACTGGACCGATTTTGATGAAATTTTTTGTGTGTGTTCAAGGGGATCTGGGAATGGTTTAGATTCACAATTGTACACGGTAGGTGGCGCTGCTGTCGGTGTGACAAAGGGTTTGTTTTTTTTAGTAGTTTGATCGCGGGCGAAGCCGCGGGTACAGCTAGTAAATATATATTCTCAAAAAAAATGTTAAAGATCGTTTGTGTGCTAGAGGCTATTATACAATTAATGATTTTATAGAGGGTGGCACACCTTGGGAATAAAGTGATCGCCTCCAAGGCTACTTCATCTTTATAGAAATATTGTAATTTAGAATTTAACTTCATAGAAAAGATAACGAAATAATATTAGTCCCGCTGAGTTTCTTTCGCCAGTTCTTCTCAGGTCTGAGGCTTCTTCTTTCCGAACTGGTAGTAGACTCATGACGTTCAGTAAAAATTGTAATAATTTAATGCCGAATAAAATATTTTGAATTTGAATATAGTATCAATTTTATTCTGCTTTAGTAATTATTAGTTGTAATATAATAATACTAATACTTTATATGCACCAATATTTTACGATTAATCAATATTATTTCGATGTTATGCATTTTATAAGAAAAAAGACTTAGTAAACTTTTTAGTAAGATGTTTTTTTCTTCTTCCTCTAAAGGTGCCATCTTCTATCGAAGTTTAACGATTATTAAGGCCGCTAATACTTAAGATACCGCAGCTCTAAACAAAGAACTGGTGCTTTAGTAAAATTGGGGTTGATTTTTTAGCCAGGTATCAGGATATATTCCTCCAGCGCACACTACGTTTCTCTTGTATTTTGTCTCAAATTATAACGCACCAACTTATTTTTGCCAAAGTATTCTAGCTAGCTTTTGTTGATATTATATAATAGGTACTTATACTAGTTTTCACTGTCACTGAAAAAATGGCGCATATTTTCAGTTTGTTAAATTAGTGTCACTTTTTTAAGAATTCCGTGTACTGCCAATTATCACAACAAGCCACTTAAAAAGTACAAAACAACAAACAATGTATGCCCGCCCACACGCCTCGAGGGGTAACTGAGTCAAAGAATCGTCCGTTCATATAATTCTATGTCTTCTATTAAAAATATATACGGAAATTCGGCTAACTTAAAGTATTAGTAGTTCATATTTTTATATTAAATAAATAATATATTATAATTTTATTAGTTTTTCCAATAGCACATAGCAAGTGCTATTAAATAAAACCTTTTTATTACATAAAATCCCTACAAGTCGTTTTAGGGTGTAAGGAAACTTAAGAATGGACTTTGTAACCAAAATTTTTTTGTTGCAGAACTCAACAGATGTTTAGAGATGTTAAACTTGTCTCCCGTAAGTTATCGGAACGCTGATGATGGAGAGAGGACTGTGACGAGTAAGAAGGTCTACTCCAGAAGACCTTGGTATGCCCTGCCGGTTGATCCGATAGAAATTATTAAGCCGATCGATCAATACTCAGGTATGACTTTAAAATCCGTAAAGTCCGTAAAGATAGTTAATTTTATACTATATCTCTTTCAATGGGAAGTTAAAAAAAAAGAATAAAAAAGTATTATTTTCATTATTCACATTTTCTTCTCAAAAATTGTAATTTAACAACTAATTATACCTATATAAAATTTCTCTTATTCTTTAAAAAAAAGTAAATAATCTGTATGGTAAAATCGTGAATAGAATAAATATCAAATCACGTTACTATCTTTAAATTTGACATTTATTTTATCGGACTCCGTATAAATAATTCTTTAGTCTGAGTTAAATTACTATTTTACAGCGTATGACCAACCGCCTGCCGATTACTATGATATATCTGACGGGGATGACCCGGTAACGCCAATACACGTGGAAGCGTTAGGCCAAGTAGAGTCTTCAACAAACCCGATCGATCAAACGCCAACCACAAGAACAGTACATGAATACTCTATCGCCAGCTCCATTAATTTAAGAGGTAAAATAATTATGAATAAAATAACACAATCTATAAACAATGTTTATCGGTAGTACATAATTCTAGGAATATTTTTCAAATGAAAATTTAATTATCTTTAGCTCGTGAAGATTGGAAAAACGTTTATCATGGGAGATATCAAATTTTGCGAATTTGGTCCCTTACATATATATAGAGTATACTCGTATACATAATTCAGCATATTGTTATAACGTGTTGCGCAAAGACGTGAGCATTTTCTGATGGAACAGTAAGGATTTGTATTTAAAGAACCACACAATCACAATTAAACAAGCTATATAATTTGAATTTTATATGTATTAAATACGTACATAAAACCTTAAAAGTGTACCATATAGATAACAGGTAACAGACAGACAGACCTGTGTATAATATAGATTTTCGACTTGAAAAACTTTCCTTGATTAACTTATACTGCTCACACATAAAAATACGTCATAGTAGTATATAATTAAATTGAGTTTAAATAAAGACTAGATTTTTAATTAAAAGATGAAGATATTTAAGAGATGTTTAAGATGATTGAAATGTAAATATATTATTATTTTTTAAAATTTTATGGATCTATTAATAAAAAGTAAAAACTTATTTAAATCCATATCTGCGTGATTATATATTTAATATTTTCTTAATAATTATAATATAAATAGGATAAAAGTTTACTTTTAAAACTTGTAAATATGTATTCGTGACGACTTTTTGATTGACACTGTATAATATACCAGAGATCGCAGCTTAGATTCGAGCTCAGCGTATAAATAAGTAGCATTGCCCGCGGCTCCGCCCGCGTTCAGATGACCAAAAACCAAATTCTTAGGTTTTACATATTAGTATACTCCTACAGTGCAATTTTTGTATTTTTCTCAGAAATCAGATATTTTCCCACGGTGAAAAGTATCCTATATGTTGACCCGGATAACCAGCTATCATCATAGCAAATTTCATCGAAATCTGTCCAGTGGTTTTCTCGTGATGCGGTAACAGACAGACAAACAAAAATTCTAAAAACTGTAGATTCGGACCCTGTATCGATAATAATGTCTATTTCAATTAGATTTACCAAAAAATATTTAATGTACAGATTCGACTTAGTCACAATTTTATTATATGTTTAGATTACGTCAATGCAATATTCGGAAAAATAAACTGAGTTTACTACAAATAAAAACATACTACATAGGGTTTTCATATTATTATTATCTTTAAAAAAGTAAAAATAAAAACAATAATTAGATATTAAGCTGAAATTAGCTTTAGTACAATGTTTAAAAGTTCATTAAAATTCAAATTAGTTTGATTTACAGGGAAATTGCAAATATGCTATTATGCAATATAAGTTGACGGTATACGAGTGCTTGCTCGGTATGCTTTAATGCATGTTAATATGATAAACTATTTCATACATAAGTTCGCATACTGTTTGAAATTATTTTTAAAGAACTGTTTCCAAGAAAAAATATTGATAAAACTAAAGCTTATCAAAAGCTACAAAAAAACGATTGAAAAACAGAGAAGAAAGATTTACTGATCTGCTTTGTCTTTGCGTATTTATATATTTGTTTGTATGTACTCGTATATAGATTGTAATATAATGTAAGCTACTTATTATGAAAAATAGTTATTTATAAAACAATCACCAAAGTCATGTAGGATTATTTAGGGATATTAAAGTGTGAAAGATAAGAGTTTTTTCTCTATATTACTTTAGATATGTTTAGATATAGCATTTTCATACTTTGCTTCAGAGCGTCGCATAATGAGAATCGTAAAACTTTGATGGCCCATACGGTATTTTGCTAGATTATATTACGGTCGTAATAAAAGAATCTCAAAGGTGACATGCCGAAAGCTAAAACTTATGAAAAAATTCTTTGTTATAACCTATAAAATCTACTCAGAATTAAATAAAAAAAATGATGAAAATAACAATGAAATAACTTAAAAATTGTTTCTTTTATATGATTATAGTCACCTTACGTGCTTGTTCACTTTAGTTGAGCAAATAAACCTGAGCAAATAAAAGGGGAAAGTAAACGTGAAGTCATGAATTTTGAAAGAAGAGAAAACTTTAGGAGGTTTAATAAATATTTTTACTTTAAATACTCGTATATATCTGTACTATATTCTTCTGATTCCACCGATATTTCCTTTATATTCAAGTGTTATTTATACAGAAGTTATTTGATCTTTACTTAATATTATAAAGAGGTAAAGTTTGTGAATTGTGAGTTTGTGATGTTGTAGGAGGTAATCTCTGGATCTATTAAGCCGATTTAGATGATATTTGGTAAGAAGATAGTTTGAGACCCTGGAAAGGTCATAGGATATGTTTTATCCCGGAAATCATCCCTTAAGGGGGTGAAAATGGGGATGAAAGTTTGTATTGGAAAGCAACCCAGGGACTAACACGAGCAAAGCGAGGTTGAGTCGCTAGTACATATTATAATTGCAGAGTAAGTCTAGCCTATTCTTCGTAAATAGCTCCACTTCGATTATCCATCTCTACATTAATAATAGACAATGAATGTCTGCTTATTTACGTAAGCTTATTATTCAATGTAAATGTGAAAGGAACTCTATCTGTTTGTTTGTTTATCTCAATACACGCGTTTTATTTAATACTATAAAGTCATAATGGAGATATCTAAATCGTTATCACGATTTTGATATAAATATGAATGAAGTGTAAATATTTATTTATTTCTTAAGAAATACATTTAATAGGTAAAATCTAATAAAAAACGGTAATATTAAAAATCGTGCTACTTTCGCTTATACTCGTATGTAGAGATATGAGGAGAGCTTTAGAACAGCTTTCAAATATATTGTAATTCACAAACTGAGTAAAAAGCTTTTTATTGTGAAGTACGTTACGTAAGAAAAAAAACATTGTTTTCTTTTCATATCATTAAAATGCTGGAAAATGAGTAATTTTTTTGGCGAATTAGAAATGAAATTCTTTTACAAATACGAGTAAATTAACTGTACCGTAGTTTGAAATTTATGGATTTAATTACGGGCAACACATTGTTATTTTTCATTATTTTACTTGGCGGTACCGTCTCTGGCTTCTATTTTTATAGTAAAGTATGCTATAATGTTACTTTCCTAAACTAATATTTTTATAAATATTTCATTTAATTTTCAACGTATTAAAATAAAATAAATTTATATTAAATAAATTTTAGCAAAAATGTTTTTTAATATTAATTTATTTTGGCTATAATTTTTTGACACTATGACAGGATAGGAGATTTTAGAAATGGACTTGCTTATGCATTCCCTATAGGTAACAATTTTTTGTATCAAACAAAACTAACAATTTTAGTACTAAACCACATACTATATCAGTATATAAATAGATACATATAATAAATAATTATTAAAAAATCTACTGTTTTTAATTAAAAATCATCAACAATGGTATATATTATATACTTATTGTATACAGAGGTAGTCCTCGTAGCACTGGGTGGTGCAAGCGCGGCGGTTGTGCTATTGATCGTGATGGCAGGGGTCTTCTGCGCTCGTAGGCGAAAGAACAGCCCAAGCCCCGTCCCATCTCCTCCAATACTGGTCTACCCTCCACATGACATTGCTGCTTCATGCTACTTGTAAGTATTGTTTTCTCTTAAAGATAAACTGTTTTTTGAAGTTATACTTCTTCTGGCACGTTTGGAATAAAATATGAGATTATTAAATAAAACTATCTTTTCGGATTATTTCGCGGATTTATTTTGATTTTTGGTTCCCGACGTTTCGAATGCTTTACAGCATCCATGGTCACGGGAGAGACTGTCAGTCTCTCCCGTGACTTGTAACAGACACAAATGTCTTGAATGTATAGTTGTTTTGTTAATTGTGGGTAGGTTGTCTGTAACAACTATACATTCAAGACATGTAACACCTCAGTCTCTCCCGTGACCATGGATGCTGTAAAGCATTCGAAACGTCGGGAAACAAAAATACAAATAAATCCGCGACAAAATCCGAAAAGATAGTTTTATTTATAATATTTAAGTATCTTTTACTATAGCGTGTTATTATGACAGACGTTATGAATCGGCCCGGTTTGATATTTACACTTATCAGGTAGCGGTTTGTAAAACCTATATTACTACACAAATGTCTCTTTTATAATTTTCTACATTTTTGCATAAAACCATAATACTCGGACACAAGCGCTCATCATGTGCAAAAAATAAGCTTTATTAATTAAATACCTGATGCTATTTGCTTTTACTATACAGGCTATTTGAATTTAATTTTTTTTTTTTTAAATATGTCAGGACATTAACACACAGCACCATCTAGTTCCATGGTATGCTACGGGGCTTGTGTTATGGATACCAGATAGTTGATACATTATACATATATAACTTTTAAATACATACATATTATAAATATAAACAACCATGACTAGAGTACAAACATTCGTTGCTCATCACACAAATGAATGCCCTCAGCGGGACTCGAACCCGCGACCACTGGCGCAGCAAGTAGGGTCACTACAAACTGAGCCATACGTGTCGTCTAAATTGCTTTGTTTTACCTTTAAAAATAATATCAAAGACAATTACTTTTGATCAACGGCAATGTACGGGACTCGTTAGTACGCATTAAATAATTTGAAACTCAAACATATTACACGTAGCCGTTGAAGAGTTCCACTACCCGCCTCCTGGCTTACTTAGGTCAGCTTATGACTCGATCGATATAAACCATGTGATTATGATTACATAAGACTTTAATGAAAGATTTACCACAAAATAATAGATTTAAATTTAATACTTTCTTAGATTTACGCGAATATTAGACATTCTAAATAAAAAACGTCGGGAACCAAAAATCAAAATAAATCCACGAAATAATCTAAAAAGATAGTTTTATTTAAAAAGATTCACATTTCTTAATTACATCTCTACTTGTATATAAGGGTTTTATATGTTATTTTCATTATATAGATGTAGTGACTCCAATTAAATACGTGGGATTTTTACTTAATTGGTTTTTCGATCACTTTTTTTTCTACAAATAATAAAAAAATCTCTCTAATTTACCAGTTCATGTATTCCTTAAACGATCAGCTGTAAAAAGTTTAATAGTATTTGTTATACGCAATGTTACTTCGCATTAAATGTGTCGAGCTTTTAGTAAATTAACTGCTCCGTATCGTCACTAAGTACTTTTTTATGACAGCAATAATTAATTTAATGCCGCAGGTGCAGATAGTGCACATTTTATTGCCATCTGTAGTACACTTCAATTTTTATTAAATAGTAATTTCAAAACCATAAAATTATATTATGATATTTAACTAAATAGACATGCCGTCTCAAAAATTACTTAAAAAAATTATTCCACCATTCACCATAAGAGTGGAATTTTCCATAAAAATAACGTAGTACAGTGTGTACTATACTTAACTGTACCTTAAAAAAAGTTTAAGATCGGCTCCCTATTTCAAAGATATCGCGATTGAAGATATCGCGTAATTTTCACAAATATAATAAAAGTGTATATAAATTAAGTTTCTCTCAATCAAATTCAAGTGGACTATGAATGTAACTTTACACAAATTCCCTGAATAGGTTAATTATACCTATCGCTGAGAGAGAAATTATGATCAGTTCAGGTCTTGAAGCCCAGATTAAGTAGTTCACTTAAAATGAACATTAAAAAGTAATATATAGTATATAATACCTATTAACGTAATTTTAAAGAATATCTAAGGAAGACGTTAGCCCCTATTCTTAATGAGTATAAATGAATGAAGGTTATGATACTTGTATGGCCCTTATAATTCAGTACTAGGTTGTGGGGGCATGAGTAATAGTTTCTATCAAGAAGACCTTACATCTTCCCTGAAAATGGTTGTTAGTACCTTTACCTTAAATGGAGAAAGATTTTTCAGTAACATGGTCTACCTTACTATATTATTATCATATATGTATGTTTTATCAAGATGGTGTATATGACATCCTACTAATATTATATATGTCTGGATGTGTAGGTGTGTAGGTGGATGTGTAGGTGGATGTTTGTTACTCTTTCACGCAAAAACTACTAAATCGATTTTAATTAAACTTTACAATACTATAGGTCATACATTAGAATAATACATAAGCTACTTTTTATAACGGAAAAATGTAAGGTTCCCGTGGGATAGATTTGTTTTTTTTCTAGAGGTGTATCCGAGCAAAGTGAGTGTGAGCCGCTAGTTAATGATAAATTATGTTACTTTTACCAGCAGCTATGCATCGCATATTAATAAAGGTTTGATTAGTTGTAAAGCTTGTAAAGTGGTTGTAAAGCTTTTTAGTAATATGCGCATATTACTAAAAAGGTTTTTTGGAATAAGCGTGTGCTATGTAGATATCGCATTCAAATAAAAATATAAGAACAGATAGTACAGCCTCATTATATAAAAGACATATTATACGTATGTCTTGTAAGTATTAGGTACAATTCAATTCTCTTTTTAATGTTAAAATATTACATAAAATAATTACTAAAATAAGCAGAGAATCTGTTTTTGTCATCCTTAACTTAACGTTAACACAATAACTTATTAGATGATCAAAACTAGACATAACCCTGTGTCTGCAACTACTACATAATTGACGTAGATCTTAATTAATATATCTATATATATAAAAGAAAGTCGTGTTAGTTACTTCGCTTATAACTCAAGAACGGCTGAACCGATTTAGCTGAAAATTGGCAGGGAGGTAGTTTAGAGCCAGGAGAAGGACATAGGATACTTTTTATCCCGTTCGACCGCGTTCCAATTTTTATGATATTTTAATTTTTGGATTTCTCTTAGTCCGGAATAGGTAAGTATTAAAACATATAATTAAAATGTGAGAAAGAAAGATTTTTTCTTTTTATATCTATTTAAAACGTACCTAGCGACGAACCCGAGCGAAGCGAGGGTGAGCCGCTAGTATATATATATATATATATATATATATATATATATATATATATATATATATATATATATATAGATAGTATTGTAATTTGAATAATTGTATTCTAATTTTAATTGAAACCTGCAATATATTATATCATCACTATCGTCAATACGAGTATAATGAATGCTTACTAATCACTAACTATATATCTCTTTAATTATATACTTAGAGTACATAACACTATTACTAGCAATTTCGCTAAGTCCGAGTACCTATTTTAATTGACTACTTATTATATACTAGCGACTCACCCTTGCTTCGCTCGGGTTCGTCCCTAGGGTATGTATAAAACTTCTATTTGAATCGGATATTATTAAATTTTTCATTGGTTTTAAATTTTTTTTTATACATAAAAACTTTTTACAAAAAATAAAAACCGACTTCCAGGCACTAAAATGTAAAAAATAACTAAACGGTGGTTCTCATTTAGAATAGATACCTAATCAGATATTTTCGAAGTCAAGAAGAAAATTTTTGAATAACATATTCGATTAAACAATTTATTTAAAAAAAATATTTATTGTTGATTTTTTAAAAAATCGCTCGACCGATTTCGATAAAATTTATATGGGACTACCTAGGAAGTATAACCTTTGAAACAAAAAAAATCCAAATCGGTTCAGGCGTCTTCGAGTAATCGGTGAACATACATAAAAAAAGATTCCGACGAATTGAGAACCTCCTCCTTTTTGGAATTGGAAGTCGGTTAAAAAGTAACCTAAGTTACTCCTTATTACTTTAGCTATCTACCAGTGAAAGTCCCCTCAAAATCGGTCCAGCCATTTCAGAGATTAGCCGGGACAAACAGACAAACAGACTGACAATAATTGTAAAAAATGTTATTTTGGTATATGTACCGTGTATACATCCATATGCATTTAGTAAAACGCTGTTATTTTGAATTACAAACAGACAATTCAATTTTATTTATCTGTATAGATAATGATATAGTTATTCAATAACTTATTTCACAGGCGAAGCCGTGGGAAAACGCTAATGCTACGTAATGCAAGTTTTTAGTAAATAAAATGTTTCTTATACTTATTAAATAACATATATATTGATATATCCGGAACACGAACTTTCGGGATGTTGATCTCATTTCAATTTGTTTGCCCGACAACTTTGTCACCCCTTGTCGACCTTCCCAATCAGCCCTTGTTGTTTAAAGACCTTTGTGTAATATTTAAAAGTTTCTCGAAATTCAACTTAAGTTTACATCCTTACATATAATATAAAGTGTAAATGCTAAATTATTTTAGCTAATTCGACTTATTATTAGTTATATTATTATTGCTCATTAAAATGAACAATAATAATATAAAACTTTAAATTTCAATGAACTGTCGTCATTTTGTGACGCTAATTTCTGCTATAATTATTAAATGTCACGAAAACGCGTGACAAAATAATATGTTTACTCGAAAACTTATGTGTAATTATGCGCATCGAAGTGAATTATAATACTAAGTGTTTCAACACGTCATATTCTAGTACATCTCTAGCTCTAGGAACTAGTCGTACAATATATTTACTATTACTATGTTATATATATATATATATATATATATATATATATATATATATATATATATATATATATATATATGTTTATATGTCCCGTTCATAGTTCTTCTCACATTTGATGTTTTTTTTTTAAGTTTGTTCGATGCAGTTAACATCGAATATCAAATCACAATGTTCATGGTTAACGATAATTAATCTTGTATTCAGTCCTTTTTAACGTCCCACTGCTGGGCACGGGCCTCCCTTCAATACGAGGGGGATCAGGCCATAGTCCACCACGCTGTCCAAGTGCGGATTGGCGGACTTCACATGTCTTTTGAAAACTTACTAGGTTCTCTCAGACATGCAGGTTTCCTCGCGATGTTTTCCTTCACCGTAAGGCAAGCGGTAATCATGTTAGAAATGATTCGCATATGAAAATATCAGAGGTGCGAGACCCGGGATTTGAACCCGCTTCACTCGGTGTCCCAAGCGAGCGTGTAACCACTGGGCTACCACTGCCTCCTGGGCTACCACTGCCTGTACCTGTAATTATTCTTATCCCACTTTTTTTATTAATTATAATTTGTGTAGCGGTTAACAACTTAAGTAACTTTAACCAGGACTAAGGAAGTTAACTTCTCATTGCCGACGCTACGCTCGTCGTCGCTCGGCGAGTTGCGTGACGTCAGCGTGTCGAGCCTCAACAGTGACGTACTGTGCCCACCCACTACATCGCAGTACCGGTCCAACTCTTTCAGTAAGTGCAATTTATTTATATACGTATTATCTACACGCAGTGACCCTTGAGAGTTTACCTGAATGATAATAAAAAATAGTAATTCATATATTTACGAGAAACGAAAATACAAGAAAATTACAAATATACTTAATTATACATATATATATGCAAAATAAATGTACACATAAGTATCAAAATACAGCAAATCATGTCAGTGGAATGCTGACTGCATTCCCATGCTAAATATCTGTCTGCATGTCGATTCTTTGAGCGAAGAACAAGGTAGATATCTTCTCACCGGTACACGTGTAAATAAATATTTATAAATATTTAAGTAGTTTTCTGTGTTTAGTATTTGGACTCCGTCAACCAAGGGATTCTATTCATATATTAAAATTTATTTTTAATCTCTTATATCGTATATGAATACGAATTCATCTAAATCGGTCCTACGTTGGGTTACGAATACAAATTGTTTTTTTTTTCATGTGAGATTTACTATATATGTGCTTTGCTTTGTATCGGCTGGCACCGACTTCGAAAATATTTGATTAGGTATGTATAGTAAATGAATACTACCAATCAGTTATTTTTTACTTTTTAGTACTTTTTTGAAGTCGGTTTTTATTTTTTTGCTAAAAAGTTTTTATTTTTCCCTTTTTAGTGTAGACATATTAGTAGCAAAGTAAGGAGAAAGTATTGTAATTAAATATTCGCTTAAACCGTTTAAGTTACTTTGGTGCCAATTTTTATACGAAGACTTACAAACTAAACTTCGCTTTTATCCGATTTTATATATATCCGATTCTAACGTGTTGGGCTTGTCAAATCAGACAAAATAAGTCCAACCTCAAAGTATCCACTTTTAGACGTTGAAAAGTTCTACCTATCCACCTTCTAGCCTTACCATCAGATCAGGTCAACGATATGTAAACACTACACTATCAATGGAAATAGACACATTTGCAAATTTTCAAGTCAATATGACAAATAGAAGTAGGTTAAATTCATCCTTAGCTATTTTTCCACCCTTAGGGGTGGTATATTTTTTGAAATTTACATGAGACCAATTTGGAAGTATACACTTTCAAAAAAAATAAAAATTGTCCCAATCGGTTCATAAATGACGGAATTCTGAGGTAACAAACAAAAAAAACATACATACAGCCGTATTGAGAACCTCCTCAGTTGAAAGAAGTTGAAAAGTAAATCTATACACATAATAAAATTATAACCGGATCGAATCTGTACATTAAATATTTTTTAGAAAATCTTGTATAATTGGTCATTATTCTCGATGCAGAGGCCGAATCTATAGTTTTTAGAATGTCTGGTTGTCTGTCTGTCTGGAGACGCATCACGGGAAAATCACTGGACAGATTTTTATTAAAGCTGGTAAAAAGCTTGTTATTCGGATCAACATATAGGATATTATGGCAATTTACACTATGAATGTTTATGTTTTAAATCGTTAACAAATCGTAGCAACAAAATTACTTTACTTTTATGTAGGTGTAGTAATAGCACAGATCACATAATGCTATATCTAATAGTTTTCCATATAAAGCTTTCTAATAAATATGAATCAGACCATTAAGGAGTAGATAAAGAAATGAGCATTTACTTTAAGGGGATCACTTAATTGGTCAGTGCCTACCATTAAATGTATAGAGCAAGTGGAGCTTTAACGAAAGCTCATCAAGTGTATCGTTAGCCTGACTGGAATATTAATGAGATATCCTTTAGAGCTTTCCATTAACAGATTATTTTAAACCGGAAACCCGCTTACAAATGGAATTAAATAACATTTTTATATTTAACCAGCACGATTATAAACGACCAAGGATTATATAAGCAAGCATTCATAGCAATTCAGTATTCAATTTAACTCTTATTTTTGCGAGCTAGGTATACAGCTTCCTACCATTACGTGTTATCTGTAGCACTGAGTCTTCTTTACTTTATCTTAATAAATTTTACATTTCTTAGTATAAAAATTAAACCTTTAAACGAGCATATATGGTGATATTTACCGTATCATAGTAATAAGGGCAATATAAAATAAATTATAATAATAAGTACAACATTATAATAATAATAAAAATAATTCAACTCTTTATAATGCACATTTAAAAAGCATAAAATTTAACACTGTACTTAGAAATTACATAAGAGGCGGCGTTATCGTTAAAATAACGATATCTTCCAGACAACCTTGAACCTGGGTAAAGCAATCTGTAAAAGGTAAGGGGTGTGAATTTTAAAATAATTTGATACTGTATAATATAATAATATATGATGATATTCTCCTAGCCGATTCCGGCCACGGCGGCCAATCTCATTGAGACTAGCCAACTGCGCAGGAGATATTATAGTGCACAAGTGTACGCGCTGACACAACGGGCACTCTCTATTCCTGTCACTCTCATACTCCGGTGGGACGACTTCTCGACACGACCGGTGAGAGTTAAGGCGCAGGACCGACGGCTTTACGTGCTCTCCGAGGCACGGGGGTGAAACACCGCCAACTTCCCAACTCCGGGCTGTTACTGAGGCTTACTTATACAGAAAGACTCAATAACTAAACTTGGTCCGACCCGGGACTCGAACCCAGGACCTCCGAGTGTGCAGCCGTACATGCTAGCCACTACACCACTGAGGCAGTTAAAATCCCAATAATATATAACAAAAATATAAATACCTGATATAAATATAATATTTAAATATGTAAAATAATAGAAGAATTCTAAATATTAATTCATTTATAAACAACTCACTGAGAATAGAGAAAAATCACTGTATAAGGAAACAATAAGCAGCAAATATTAGTCAAAGAGTATAAAATGTATTTTTGGTACGTTTATATGTTATTTTCATTTGTTTTTTGATTCTTTATTATACGAAATAAATTGTACATTTAAAAGCATATTTTGCTCATCGTTATTTTCCGGCTGTTGAAAGCCATAACAATAATTTCCATTGACATAAAACACTCATCTCTGCGATCTGTTGTAGTCAATGGGCCGAAACCAAGATCAGATAATAATGAAATCTATTTTTTAACCAGAATTCTAATGACTTAAGACCTTTTATTTCTAGGATACAAAAAAAACAAAGTATTACCTAAGGGTTCTGATTAATAAATAAATAATAAATAAATATGTTGAGACATTAACACACAGCACCATCTAGTTCCATGGTAAGCTACGAAACTTGTGTTATGGATACCAGATAGATGATACACTACACATATATAACTTTAAATACATATTAAAAATATAAACACCCATGACTGTAGTACAAACATTCATGCTAATCTCACAAATGAATGCCCCCAGCGGGACTCGAACCCGCGACCGCTGGCAGAGCAAGTCACTACAAACTGAGCCAAACGTGTCTTCAATTCGATTAAATATAATAAATTTGATATACATATATAAATTATATTTGTTATGTAGTTCTGTGAAATAGTCAATTAGTAATGTGTAGATTTAATTTTGGGGATTATTATATAAGGCTAAAAGTCAAAAAAAATTGGCAAATATATACATACTTATGAGTACATTTAGTATATGTAAATAAAATATGAGAAAAATAAACATAAATATTGTTTATTGTTATAAAAAAGGACTGGTTTAAAAATATTATTAACTTTATTTATAATAAGTTATAATTCTCTTAATATGTATAATTTAACTTGACTTTAGCCATTTTTGTAACAACTATTTAATAACTGTTAAGACGTTTAAAACCTTAGTCTCCCGTTACCACGATTACCTTAAAGCATTCGAGACATCGGGTATAAAAAACCAAAATATATCTGCAAAAAATTTGTAAACAGTTTTATTTAAAATGTCAAATAAGTTTTATTTTTTTATATTTTTTTAAACTGTACGTCTGAACACGTACCGTACAATCAGCGTATTTTTTAATATATAATAATAAAAAAAAAAATTGGAGGAATGTGATTTAGAAAAAATTGGCAATGAGGCGGTTCCTTTTTCCATGTTAACAAAACACATAAATAATCTTTCATCTCTTGAAATCCTTACTTTGAATTTATTCAATTTAATTACAAAGTTTGTTCGAATTCAGACACGTATGTATATTCTGTAAGAGCATATCTTTTGAGGCTTAGTTCGTAGGCCGTGTCTAAATAAGCACCCAAATGTGTCAAAACTATCAAGCATTAAAAGGTTTCAAAGGTTACGTACCTAGAATATAATATAATATACTAATTAAATCTTGCCCTTTGGAAACTTTTGAAAATTTTAATCCTTTGTGTAGGTCGTATAAAGAAGGTACGAAAATAGCTCTTAAAATATTTTTAAATAAATTATGTCTATGTATTTCATATAATATAGTATTTTTTTGTATTCTGCTAGTTTATTATCACAATTAAATCGAAGAAAGCGATAGAGTTACAAAAATAATCAGCTTTTGTACTTTTCACTCGATTTTTCGTCATCTATAATAATATTATAAAGAGGTAAAGATTGTGAGTGTGAGTTTGTGACGTTGTAATCTCTGAATCTACTAAACCGATTCAGATGAATTTTGGTAAGAAGATAGTTTGAGACCCTGGGAAGGACATAGGATACTTTACTTCTACTACCCGGAAATCATCCCTTAAGGATGTGAAAATGGGATGAAAGTTTGCATGGGGAATCAAGCTAGTTAACTTTGATTTTTAAAAGTAACATATAGCGTTTCACAACACACACAGTTCAGCTAGATTCAGTCTCTGAACACTACATATTTTACCCTACTTATTACTGTTCCACTTTAATCCATTTTTCTTCACTTTTTCGTATTTCTTCTGTCTTCTCTCGACACATTGCCGCCCATTTTTATTTGCAGAAACAAAGAACATACTAGTATTCAAAATGTCGAATCTTTTCTAATAATTTCAATTTGTCATTTCAATTCTGGAAAATGTTTTTGTCCCTCTCTTACACACGGATATTTATTATAATTAACTATTCTTGTCGTTATTTGTCATATTGTGTTGACATCTG